CAGGAATCCAATTGCTATATTTAACATAGATGTAACTGATTGGTAAAAAGTTATAACCGTCAGCAATATATTTTGAAAATGCCTTTGTGATCTGAGACTAGGTTTAGCCAAGTCATAGTCTCTTCCTCCTGTAAAAAAGGTTGATCATGTGGATTCTCCACAGTTTTCAATTTTGACATGGTCCACAAGCTGAGGTGTGCATGGTGGTCGCTATCCTCTACACAACTACAACGTGTTCTAAGCCAGGCAGTTATTTTAGTGCAATGTGGACCATCTACAGGAGAGCTTTCTGGCTTTAACAGTTTTCTTGGTCACATATGCTAACAAAACGTTATCTCATTTCCATCACAATCCACTGCATTCCTGTCACTCCTCTCCTTTCCAGTCCACACCGCAGTCTGATGACCTTCTCTCTAAGTTATGATGATGTTTAGTCAGGACTTGGTAGGAGAGAGAGCGTTTACTGGGAGTAACAAAATGACTTGGCGGAACAATTTCTTGATCAAAAGGTTGGCGCAAAGAGGCCATTGAATCGGTACTCTGCACAAACAGAACTTCTTTCATCCTTTCTTCTTGCTCCCAAAGGTCCTCAATGGCACTGTCATGTCTGTGAAAATCAATGTCCACTGCTAAATCTGGAATTATTAGATGCATTCTTTTCGGCAGCTTCTTTGCTGAAGACTAAATCATTTCATGAGGTGTCCACCTGAGACTTCTTGATAAATTACAGCAAGTGTAACTGCAGAAGCCAGCTTGTAGGAAGGGCTTCTGGCGCGCGTGGTCGAACTGCTGGACAATTGCATGTCCTATTCCTGCAACACTTTCGTCTTGTGTGTCCTTTCCCAGAAAAGACCATTCTGGCATCTGGCAGAATTAATATGCAGGAACAAACGAAAAGGGCAAATCAAAGCAATTGACTTTGCTTGGATACTGATCTGTGAGGGATGGCACATTAGACAATGCTCTTTAATGAGTCGTGCCGCTTGTTTCAATAATCTCTGGCGCACTGAAGTTCTTCTAGACAGCACAGCGGATGTTGAAATACGATCTCAGTATCTGCTTCGATGTGTACCCTCATTGTGCTAATAATAAAGTAGCTTCCCCGTATACGTAGACATTGTCCCCATACTGTTTCTTTCAAATTGTCCCTTTGAGGTGTGTTAGTTTCCATATAAAACTGGAATCTCTGTATTTGTCGAAATTCCTTGTTTTGCTCATGCAAATGTAGAATTATCAGGTGTTCTTCATCTGAAACATAAGGTAGAAACTAAGCGATTACAGATACCTGCTCCACAGTCTTCGTTTTGGGCGGTCTATTTCTGCACTTTGCCTCTGGGACTGTTCTGGGCTGTGTTGGGCATGCTAAGCCCAGACAAATTACTACCCTGCAGAGCGATAGTAGTAGTCTACCCAGAGATATTAGATCTGCGAGCTCTTCAATCACCTGCTGGGGTGAGGCTCATCTAGTGACTATCTGCTTACTCAAGATAGTCCTACACAAACGGCTTGGTCTTTACACTTAACCTCTTGGTACAGTCCACAGAAAAGACAATCCGCTGTTGAAGGACCTGGATGATGCTCACAGCGCTTCTCTTTAATTTAATCAACTGCTCTTTTTATTTTCAATAAACATGTATGATATGCACTTTTCTGTCATCCTCTTTTTTACTCCTGTTGGTTATCCAAGCAACCGATTCAACTTCATCAAACATCTAAGTCCTCTCGCTTAGATAGGGCCGAAGTCTCTTTGGTTTCAATACTTTAGCACTCTGGTCGGGCTAAAAGTCTGGTAAATTAAACAAGCCAAATAAAGTCAGTAAGAAATACTGCATCGTAAATAAACAGTCACTAAATGAAGTGTATCTTGGATTTCCCAATTACATGTCTGTGTCGCTTTTGCTGGGCCAGGCAGATTCTCAGTCCTTGGCTTTGAGGGTTGGGCATAAATTGCTTCTCACAGGACTGAATAAGCAGAGAATAACCTTATAGGCATTTTGCAGGATTTGGTGGCTATTCGCGCCTAATTACTTACCCAGGTGTAGTGTTGAGGCCTCCATCACTGCCCCAGGTGTAGTGTTGAAGGCCCTCCATCACCTGCCAGGTGTAGTGTTGAAGACCCTCCATCACCTGCCCCAGGTTTAGTGTTGAGAATCCTCCATTACTTAAACCAGGTGTAGTGTTGGACCACCTCCATCACCTGCCCCAGGTGTGGTGTTGAGGACCCTCCATCACCTGCCCCAGGTGTAGTGTTGAGAACCTCCATCATCTGCCCCAGGTGTGGTGGGGACCCTCCATCACCTGCCCCAGGTGTAGTGTTGAGAGAACCCTCATCCACCTGCCCCAGGTGTAGTGTTGAGGGAACCCTCCATTACTTAACCCAGATTAATCATCACTACTATAGTGTTACAAAATATCCACTTCTGATATATTTTATTTTTTTGCCTTTTTTTATTCTGTTCGTTGGTTCAGCTAATTTATTATGAGTGTGACTTGTGCCTGGTGCTGCAGGTGTAACACAGTAGACAGATTTTATCATAAAAATGTTGTCTAGGATCACCAGTCATGTCCCCACTGCCTGGCTGATAAGGTTCCTTAAACATTCATGTCCTGCCGCCTCTCTCTCTTTCCTCAGTAAGATTGATGACTGAGACAGTACTTATTAAAACCCTTGACTTAAGATTTTTAACCGCGTTTTTAAGTTGGATTAAAAATGTAAGTCAGACGTTATCACTGTGCAAAATAAAATGGATTAACTCACTGTAGAACAATGAGAAGATTTTTCTGAAAGTTCTCTCTTTGTGCGTCATTGGTTACAGGACAACATTTCTAGAGAGCTCATATTCACACTTCAGCAAAAAATCAGCATTGACATTTCTTCATATTACTCCTCGTGTTTATATCTCGGTGAAGGAACAGGTTGATGTGGTAAATATACCGTAATTTTCCAATTCCTTCGACAACTCACTGTGAAACAAAAAGGTTTACTTTTCATCAACAAATGCTGTTACTAAGTTTCAAACTACTATATTTTTACACGCAGGTGAGGGTGGCCCACTACCTTATGAAGCTGTGTGGTATCATCTGTGTCATCAGGTTAAGTTTAACCCTCAAGATGATGTCCTCTCCGTCGTCCGTCTTTGTTTCATTATAATCCACGATTGGTGGCCCGTTCGTTACAGTGCACACCCTGGTTTTACCCTAACTACTCTGAAACCCATTTTGCAAACTGCAGCTACAAGCGGAATTACTTGAATAAGGTCAGAAATCCAGTACAACTTCCCGAGTTCTTCTCAGTCGATTGATCAACGAAAATGTCATCTGGACGTTGTCACTGTCGGCAGGGAATATTCTGTATTACCTACAACTCTGAGTTGAACCATCAGTGTTGTCCTGCTTCAGTATCATCCGCTACGACTTCAAATATATCTTAGTAATAACGACACAAATAGAGCGGCAGCAGTCCCCTGAGCAGCTAACTCCTCCTGTGATAGGGGGCGCCGTGCTGGCTGGCCTACCTGAACAAGATTTTGCACTGAGATCATCAAAAGCCGCATATGCAGGCAGAGCAGAGCGTGGACTTTCATGTGATGTCTGAAAAGCGATAGGAGCAGCACGTGGGCACAGTTGAAACAGCACACGCTCACTCATTCGATTTTGGGCGCTCTTAACATCGGGATACTTGTTAGTGTTAAGTCTTGAAATTTAAATGTATATGAACTTACAATTCATTTGGTTTGTAAAACCTCTGTTTGTCTTATGACTGAGTCTCCTGCCTGTATGTGTCTCTGAGGGTGATGTGCAGCTGTCATTATGTATTCTGCATTCACAATATGTACTGTGTTCAGGCTTGCTCACTACAGTTACAACATTAGCTACACACACACACAAAATATATATATATATATATATATATATATATATATATATATATATATATATATATATATATATATATATATATATATATATATATATATATCACTAAGGTGCATGATCTAGGTATATGCTGATAACCACAAGGAAAGAAAAACACAAAGCTCCCAAGCGCTTTCCTGTAATATCTTCTGGGGTGAGTACAGACCCTACTAATCTTCAAATAATCACCACAGCAGTCATTACTACGACCATTGTGGACTTGATCTCACCTCCTCTGTACAGTATATATATATATATATATATATATATATATATATATATATATATATATATATATATATATATATATATATATATATATACTTATTTTATACTTCTCCTTAGTCTGTACTCACCCTGAAGATGTAAATTACACAGCGCTTGGAACTTCATTGTTTCTTCTTTCCTTGTGGTTATCAGCATATACCTAGATCACCGCACCAGTGATTTACTGCATATATATATATATATATATATATATATATATATATATATATATATATATATATATATATATATATATATATATATATATATATATATATATATATATATATATATATATATATATATATATATATATATATATATATATATATATAAAAAAAAATATAATTCTCCCTCCTAGAATAATAAACTTGCTTTGATGTTCAGTAATCTTCATACTCCATCTAGAAAAGCTTTTTTTAATCCACTAAAAGCATAACCTGTTACTTATAAGGCTGGGAGAGATTACAGATAAAGAAACATTCCTAGTTGAACACTCGGCCACAGGCTGTCGGGTCTTACGAGAGATGAGGTCATTAAGTTAAGCTAAATACAAACTAAGGTGTTGTAGTAAAACAGAACAACATACAGCGATGCAGTAATACAGCGACACAGTGACACACAAACACAGCAACACAGAGACACAGCAACACAGTGACACAGAAACACAGCAACACAGTAACACACAAACGCAGCAACACAGTGACACACAAACGCAGCAACACAGAGACACAGCAACACAGTGACACGGCAGCACAGAGTCACATCAACACAGTGACACACAAACACAGCAACATAGAGACACAGAACACAGTGACATGGCAGCACAGAGAGACAGCAACACAGTGACACACAAACACAGCAACACAGTAACACACAAACGCAGCAACACAGTGACACACAAACGCAGCAACACAGAGACACAGCAACACAGTGACACGGCAGCACAGAGTCACATCAACACAGTGACACACAAACACAGCAACATAGAGACACAGCAACACAGTGACATGGCAGCACAGAGAGACAGCAACACAGTGACACACAAACACAGCAACACAGTGACACACAAACACGGCAGCACAGTAACACACAACGCAGCAACACACTGACTCAGCGACACAGTGACACGGCAGCACAGAGAGACAGCAACACAGTGACACACAAAACACAGCAACGCAGAGACACAGCGACACAGCAACATAGTGACACAGCAATACAAAGACACAGCAACACGGAGACACGGCAACACAGAGACTCGGCAACACAGTGACACAGAAACACGGCAACACAGAGACAAACAAACACAGCAACACAATATACACAAATAACATGAAGGCACGGCAACAGAGACTCGGCAACACAGTGACACACAAACACAGCAACACAGAGACACAGCGACACAGCAACACATTGACACAGCGACACAGCAACACAGTGACAGAGCGACACAGCAACATAGTGACACACAACACAAAGACACAGCAACACGGAGACACGGCAACACAGTGACACAGAAACAGAGCAACACAAGATACACAACAATACAAAGACACAGAAACACGCAAACACAGCAACACATTGACACACAAACACAGCAACACAGTGACACACAAACACAGCAACACAGCAACACAGAAATACGCAAACACAACAACATAGAGAAACAGCAACACAGAGAAACAGCAACACAGCAACACACAAACATGCAAACACAGCAACACAGCAATATATAAACATAGAAACACGCAAACATAGCAACACAGAGAACCAGCAACACAGAAACACAGTAACAAAGACACCACAGCACAACAAAACAGAAACACAGCAACAAAGACACAGCAACACAACAGCACAGAAACACAGTAACACGACACAGCAACACAACAACACAGAAACACAGTAACACGGCACAGCAACACAACAACACAGACACACAGTAACACGACACAGCAACACAACAACACAGACACACAGTAACACGACACAGCAACACAACAACACAGAAACACAGTAACACGGCACAGCAACACAACATCACAGAAACACAGTAACACGACACAGCAACACAACAACACAGAAACACAGTAACACGGCACAGCAACACAACAACACAGAAACACAGTAACACGGCACAGCACACAACAACACAGAAACACAGTAACACGGCACAGCAACACAACAACACAGAAACACAGTAACACGACACAGCAACACAAAACACAGAAACACAGTAACACGGCACAGCAACACAACATCACAGAAACACAGTAACACGACACAGCAACACAACAACACAGAAACACAGTAACACGACACAGCAACACAACAACACAGAAACACAGTAACACGACACAGCAACACAACAACACAGAAACACAGTAACACGACACAGCAACACAACAACACAGAAACACAGTAACACGACACAGCAACACATGACACACACCATATTAGCTCATAAGTCGTCCGCAAAAGAGGTATAACCATGATGAGGTACTTTGAATACTATTTACACAATGGGCATTACTAGTGCTAAAAGAGGCAGCATCTCCGTCTGTCTGCAGTTGTGATGAGGCGAGTCGACCTTGTCATCACTAACAGTGGGTGGAAAATATTATCTCACTGGCAGAGAAGAAGTAACGAATGGTCCATGTACTCTCTCTCTCTTGTAGCCCACTGTATACGAGTCGGACATTTTGGGACGCATCTTACTCCACTACTACCACTATCTTCACCAACACCACCACCACCATCTTCATCACTACCACCACCATCTGCATCACTACCACCACCATATTCATCATTACCACTACCATCTTCATCACTACCACCACCATATACATCACTACCACCACCATCTTACTCCACTACCACCACCATCTTCATCACTACCACCACCATCTTTGCCACTACCACCACCACATCTTCACTACCACCACCATCTGCATCACTACCACCACCATATACATCACTACCACCACCATATTCATCACTACCACCACCATATTCATCACTACCACCACCCCATTCATCACTAACACTATTCATCCCACAATACCAATCTCATACCACCACCCATATTCATCACCCACCACCACCATTCATCACTACCACCACCACCATATTCATCACTACCAACACCATATTCATCACTACCCAAACCACCACCATATTCATCACTCCCCACCATCTCATCACTACCACCACCATTCATCACTCCACCACCACCTTCCCACCACCCACACCCATATTCATCACTCCACTACCACCAACCTCACCACACCACCATCTTCATCCCACCATATTCATCTCACCCCCACCACCATTCATCACCTCCCACCACTTCACCACCACCCTATTCACCACCCACCTTCATCACTACCACCACCCATATTCATCACCCACCACCACCATCTTCTCACTACCACCCACCATATTCATCATTACCACCACCTTCATACCTTCACCACTACCACCACCACCCACCATATTCATCACTACACCACCCACATTCATCACTACCACATGCATTTCACCACCCATATTCATCACTACCACCACCATATTCAACACCACCATTCACACCACCATATTCACACCACCACCACCAACACTACCCCACCACCATTTCATCACCACCACCACCCATATTCATCTCCAACCATATTCATCCACTGCCACCACCATATTCATCACTACCTCACTACCACCACCATATTCCTCCCAACCACCATATTCATCATTACCACCCACCATCACCAATTCCATCCTCCACCACCCATACACCACCACCACCATATTCATCACTACCACCACCATATTCATTCACCACCACCATATTCATCTTACCACCACCATATTCATACTACCATTTCACACCACCACCACAACCTCACACACTAACACCACCACATCCTACCACCACCATATTCATCATTACCACCCAATTCATCACTACCACCACCATATTCATCATTACTCCACATATTATCACTCCACCGCATTTATCACTCCACCACCATTTACTCCCACCATATTCATTACCACACCATATTCATCACTACCACCACCATATTCATCACTACCACAACCACATCACCAATCCACCACTACCACCACCATACTTATCATCAACCACCATATTCATCACACCACCACCATATTCATCACTACACAACCATATTCATCACCACCATTACCCATCTCACCACCACCACCATATTCATCACTACCACCACCACCACCATATTCATCACTACCACCACCATATTCATCACTACCACCACCCATCACTCCACACTAACACCACCACAATCATCAACCACCACACCATATCACACACCACCCATCATCCACACCACCACCACCATCATCACTACCACCACCATATCCATCACTACCACCACCATATTCATTACCACCACCATATTCATCATCACACACCACATCTTCATCACTACCACCACCATACTCATCACTACCACCACCATATTCATCATCCACCACCACATATTCATCACTCACCACCATCATCACCACTCACCACCACCAATATATTCATCACCACCACCACCATATTCATCACTCACCACCACAATTCATCATTACCAACACACACCCCACAACAACCCCCATATTCATCACAATATTCATCACTCACCACTATTCATCACCACCATATTCATCACTACCACCACCTATTCATCACTTCACCACCATATCCGTCATTACCACCACCATATCCATCAAACCACCACCATAATCCATCATTACCACCACCATATTCATCAATACCACCAATATTCATCACTACCACCACCATATCATCACCACCACCACCATTCACCACCACCACCATTATCCATCATTCACCTTCATCACCACCACCAATTCATCACACCACTACCATATTCATCACCACAAATCTCACCACCACACCATCCAATACCACATATCATCACTACCACCAATATTCTATACTACCACCACCACCATATTCATCATTAACCACCACCATATTCATCACTACCACCACCATATTCATCATTACCACCACCATCACTACTACCACCAATCTATCACCACCACCATATTCCACACTACCACCACCATATTCATCACTACCACCACCATTCATCATAACCACCACCATATTCAACCCATCATCACTACCACCACATATCATACTACCACCAACCATATTCATCACCACCAACACCATATTCATCACCACCACCACCACCACCACCATCTTCATCACTACCACCACCACCACCACCACCTTCATCACTACCGCCACCACACCACCATCTTCATCACTACTCACCACCACCACCACCACCACCATATTCATCACTACCACCACCACCATATTCATCACTACCACCACCATAATCATCATCACCACCACCATATTCATCACTACCACCACCAATTCATCACAACCACCACCATATTCATCATTACCACCACCCATATCCATCACCACCACCACCACCATCACTACCACCACCATATTCATCACTACCACCACCATATCTATCATTACCACCACCATATTCATCACTACCACCACCATATTCATCACTACCACCACCATATTCATCACCACCCACCACCATCTTCAACCACCCACATATCATACCACCACCATATTCATCACTACCACCACACCATATTCATCACAACCACCATATTCATCATTACCACACCATATTCATCACTACCACCACCATATTCATCACTACCACCACCACCATATTCATCACTACCACCACCATATTCATCACTACCACCACCAATTTCATACCACCACCATATTCATCACTCCACCACCATATTACCACCCCTATTCCACACCACCACCACCACCCCACCATATTCATCACCACCACCCCCATTCATCACTACACCACCACCATATTCATCACTACCACCACCATATTCATCACTACCCACCACCATATTCATCACTACCACCACCATATTCATCATTACCACCACCATATCTCAACCACCACCACCAATTCATCACTACCACCACCATATTCATCACCACCACCACCATATTCATCATTACCACCACCATATTCATCACTACCACCACCATATCATCACTCACCATATTCATCACCACCACACCATCTTCACCACTACCACACCATTCATCACTACCACCACCATATTCATCACCACACACCATATTCATCACCACCAGCACATCTTCACCACTACCACCACCATATTCATCATACCACCACCATAATTCATCACAACCACCACCATATTCATCACTACCACCATATTCATCACTACCACCACCATATTCATCATTACCACCACCATATTCATCACTACCACCACCATATTCATCAATACCACACCATATTCATCACCACCCACCATATTCATCACTACCACCACCATATTCATCACTACCACCACCATATTCATCACACCACCACCATATTCATCATGACCAAATATTCATCCGCCACCTGCATCCACTA